ATTTTACATTAGGTTTCAATCCCTTCCACAATTCATATGGAGTTTGTAAAGTGCCGGGCCTTAAATACACGCGATTTACGACATAAACAGCAGTATTTAGGGCTTCAGCCCAAAACTTTGGAGGAAGTTTCTTGCTAAGGAGCATGACCCTAGCCATTTCTTGAACAACTCTGTTCTTCCTCTCAACCACTCCATTTTGTTGTGGAGTAATAGGTGCAGAAAATTCATGCTTAATTCCATGCATATCACAAAAATCCGAAAACGAACTATTTTCAAACCCATGACCATGATCAGTTCGGATTCTTATGATATGCCCAATGGAAATACCCTGTTCATTTTGGATTTTAAGGACTAAGGCCTAGAAAGCATCAAACGTATCAGATTTTTCCCTTAAAAAATTTACCCACGAAAAACGAGTAAAATCATCAACAGTTAAAAAAATGTATCTTTTTACCTCCAATGCTTCCAGTACGAGTAGGACCCATTAAATCCATGTGAACCAATTCAAGAGGACGTTTAAAGCTGTTCACTTTTTTATGAGGGCACGAGTCTGCCTTCCAAGTTGACATGGTCCACACACATGGTTCGGATTTTTACCCAGTTTAGGTACTCCTCTCACAAGCTCTTTGTTGGCTATCTTAGTTAGGTCTTTGAAATTCATATGACCTAATCTTTGATGCCACAAATCAATGTTACTTATGATGGCAGAGTGACAAGTGAGATCATTAGTAGTAATAATCCCATAGCAGTTATCAGATGTGCGAACCCCATGTAAGACAGTATTTCCCTTTTTATCCAAAATTTCACATTTATTTTTTGAAAACAATACTTCATGGTGGGAATCACACATTTGACTAATGCTCAAAAGATTTGCTTTAAGGCCATCAACAAGAAGAGCATTTTCGAGCTTGGGATGACCAGCAACACTTATAGAGCCCTTACCAATGACTCTAGAAGTGCCGCCATCTCCAAATGTAACAAGTCCTCTTTCATATTTTTCAAGGGAGGTGAAGTAGGATTTGTTACCGGACATGTGACGAGAGCACCCACTATCAAGATATCACATGTGTGAGTCACATGCTTTTAGAGCAGTGTGAATAACTAAACAAGTCAAATCATATTTTCTCACCCAAATCTTTTTGGTCTTGGTAAATGTCTTGGCGTTGTGAACACCCTCATGAATCTTGGTATTCCACCTAGACATGTAAGGTTGTCTCCTAACCCAAAAAGTATTCGAATTTCTATCATTTTGAGACACCTTATCAAATAGTTCATAGCAATAAGGACGAATGTGGCCATACCTACCACAGTGATGACAAATAAAAACAGGTTTTACCTCTCTATTGTTAATCTTACCCCCTTTAGGTAGATGAAGAGAGGGATCACCCTGGTCTACCTTCAACTTTCCCTTTGCTTGAGTCTTCAAGTCATGTGAAGTAGAGGCCTGTCCCTTGTGAGCTGTCGCACCATAGCCTAGCCCACTTTTGTCATATCCCATTTGTTGAGACCCAAGGATGTCTTCTAAAGATTTGGAACCTTTGTTCCACATGGCAATGGTAGCTCTAGCAATACGGAGTTCTTCATCTTTCTGACAGACTATCTCTTCCAATGTGGCTTGTGATATCTTAAGACTTTCAAGCTTTTCTTCATATGTGGAATACACCTTTAGAAGTTCATTCCTTTCAGTTTCACAGGATAGAAATTTTCCACATAAGTCTTGCCTGTCACTTGAGATCTTGATGATATTCTGCTTTGTTGCTACAAGTTCTCCTTTCAACTTGACATTCTCACTTTCACATGTTCTAAGCTTGAGAGTGAGTTTGTCATTGATTTTAGGCAGATTCAGAGATTCATCGTAAAGCTTTTCGTAAGCTTGTTGTAGATCATTACCAGTAATCTCATCATTGTCTTCAGATGTAGATGTTTCATCATCATCTTTTTGCTCCTCATCCTTATTGACCTCATCCAGTCGGGCAACTAAGGCAGAAAAGTTACTGGATGGTGGTAAAGGTGAATCTCCTCTTTCATAGAATTGGCTCAGAATCTCCCATGCATCTTTAGCCTTTGTGCAGTGAGCAACCCGTTGCTTTTCTTCATCAGAAATTGCTCCACGAATAGAAATCAGGGCTCTCTGATTGCTCGGATTGTCATCACTTTCTGTATCTTCTTCAATGGCTTGCCAGCCTTCTGGGTCAGAAGCTCTTAGAAATGCCCTCATTTTGATCTTCCAATATAGGTAGTTACTCCCGTCAAAGGTGGGAGCATGATGCAGGTTCTGACCACGAGCTAATTCCGCTGGCTTTGGAAGAGGTTGAGTAAAACTGGACCAAAATGCCATGAAAGCACTATCCCCGTCTTCACCGGATTCAGGTTCTTCGGGTTCTTGCTCCGACCCACTTTCATCATCCCAAGTCACAGTGTAAACTTTCTTTCGATTCTTTTTCGACGGACATTCAAGGGCAATATGGCCAAACCCTTGACATTCATAGCACTTGACTCCTTGCCCCTTTACAATCTTCTTTTCAGTTTTTTGAGCAAGTTTTGGTGGAAAAGTTTTGGGTTTTTCATTATTCTTGTCTTTTGAAATAGGGTCTCTGAAATTAGGCTTCTTTTTCTTTAAAATTTTTTTAAACTGTTTAGTAAACATAGCCGTCATCTCAGACTCTAAATCAAATTCAGTCTCTGGAGTTTTTGCAGTCTCATGAGCACTAGTGAAAGCCACACTGTCTTTTTGTTTTTTCTTTGAAATTTGGTTGGCTTCATAAGTCTGCAAATTTCCAACCAATTGATCAAGCTTGAGGGTATCAACATTCTGAGCCTTCTCAATGGCTGTCACCTTTGATTGGAACCTCTCGGGTAAAAACCTCAAGATTTTTCCAACAACTTTAGCTTCAGGAATTTTTTCACCGAGTGTAAAACAGGAATTCACGATATCACTAAGTTTTGCATAGAAATCATCAAAAGTCTCATCATCGCGCATAAAAAGGGTTTCAAACGCGGATGTGAGACGTTGAAGTTTTGACCTTTTGACAGAAGTAGTACCTTCGTGAATTGTTTCAAGAATGTCCCAAGCCTCTTTTGCTACCGCACACGTGCAGATACGACGAAATTCTTCAGGTGTGACGGAGCAAAACAGGGAATTGAGAGCCTTGCTATTCCAACTCGAGTTTTGGTAATCAGTTGTGTCCCATTTATCAAGGGGTTTAGGAATATCAATGCCATCAATGGTGACAATAGGTTCACTCCACCCATAGATCACGCAGTGCCAAACTTTCTCATCAATGGATTTTAAAAATGCTCTCATACGAGCTTTCCAATAAGAATAGTTTGTACCGTTGAGGAGGTCTATGAGTCGAGTTACCTTCACGAATAGAATCCATAAAACTAGTCACACAAAATTACACTCTTATAGTTTTGAAAAAACAAAGAGTGACCCGCTCTGATACCAATTGAAAATTTTAGGTGATTCGTGATTAGATCAAGATTAAAATATTCCAAATCCCAATAATCCAAAACACACAATCTAAATCTACAAGTACTTACGAAAGTGATTTAGATTGTTTATTTTTCGGAATAAACAATAAATCGACACAAACGATTTTTACGTGGAAAAAACCACAATTGAAGAACCTTCAATTGTAATAAAAAACCACGGGCAAACCGCCACTAATCAATCCACTACTGAAGAAAGAAAGATTACAAAGATAACACACAAATTACCCAACTCAGTCAATTTGTCTTCGAATCTTCTGTAAATCTTTCACCACGCTTTCGTCTCGGAATTGATCAATCCTGAAGTTGAATCCATAACTTCGTTTGTCAAATAAACGACTACGTACAGAATCAAATGCCTTTTGAAACTCTACGTTTGAATCTTCAAAATCCTCCGAAGAATAACTCTCTTGAATTTCAAGTAACAAACTCCTTGATGTATGTATCTTAGATCATGAGTGAAGAACTCTCTCAAAACATCAAGGAAAGCTCACTAAAATTCTCCAGAAGAAACTTCAAACAAAACCCTAAAAAAACCTTAAACAAGATCTTGGAGAAGTAATCTTAAACCTGACCCAACACGCGAATTTATAGAGCTAATTTCGCGTGGTCCGCTCGAGCGTGGGAATTCCCGCTCGAGTGTAGACTTCAAAATTGTGTGATTCATATAGGCTTCACGCTCGAGCGGAAGTTTCCACGCTCGAGCATCGAATCATACCATCCAGTACTTTTTCAGGCAAAGCAGAGATGCTGTAAGCTTGCAATCCCCGATCGAGCATCACTTTCCCCGCTACCAAAATTGGAAAATCTGGAAGACTGGATCCTGTTACAACCTTGGTTTTGATCCATGGAATTTGACAACAAAGGGTCCTAACAGTGTCCTTCACCCCGAGGTTCTTAAAGTTATTCACCATAGTTTAGTTTATGCCTGAAGAGTCATATATCAATTGGATTAGGATGAAAAGTTAGTTTTTAAACTTTTTGACTTAAAATTTCATAGTAGGTTGAGAGTGGTTAAGTTCGAGGCTGCATTTCAGCATCTTTGGTCTTGGGCAAACACAAAACAAATTTCTAAACATTGATCACTTTTTTTAGTGTTAGGGGTTAGGGTAGACTTAGATTCACGTTGGCTAGCGTAGTAAATAGATATTGGAATCTACTTAATCTGACTAATAAAATAGCATTTGATAGAGTCGAGTAGAGAAAAAGGATTCATATAGCCGATCTCATTTGATGGGACTTAAGGCTTGATTTGGTTTGGTTTGTTCAATTATTTCTGTCTAGTTGTGTAAGGTCAGCCCTTCATAGAACAACTGGTCTTGTTTGTACTATGTAATGCATTTTCTTTATTTGTTTGAAAAAACACATAAGAAAAATGCAAGGTCAAGCACAACATATTTCTGAACATGGTTTCACCTTGTTTAGCTAGTATATTTGTTCATTTGTGATGCTCTCTTTATTTGCACTTGGATAACACTTTATAGTACTGGTTTTGTTTGTATTTTTAGATGCATATAGGAGAAAGGTTTTCTTTAAGTATGAAAAACGCATAAGAACGCGAAGTCCTCCTGAAAAGGTATGTTTCTTCACTAAAGATATGCTCCATTGTTATAGCTATGGACCCAAGCAGTATATATGAATAAGATTTAGGTCTGAGTGCTTTTGACAGTATAGTATAAATATTTTCATTTACTTCTAAAAATATCTGATCCTTTAAACTGCCAATGAAAAAGCTAAAAGTTTTTATTTATTTATTATTACTGTTATTCTACAATCAATAGACTAAATTTACAATGCATATTGGAACATACAAAAATTTTTATTTATGTCTAAGCTTTCCCATTAATATATTTACACATATCTAAAGAAGTGCTTTTGGGATATCGAAGAATGTGTCACTTGTGGTGCTTACCATCTTGGTGCGGGGACAATTTAAGCACCTTACGGCTCTTTTGGATTTACGGATTTGAAATTAATAGGTTTGACATCAATAATTTGAGGAGTGTAAACTTTATAATGATAGGTTTCAAATAACTGTTGAAAAAACTTATTTGAAATCCTTCCATAAAGATTCTACTTGTACAAGGATCTTAACCAAAAAACATGTCTCATAGCTCTATTCAATCCCCCACTTTGAAGTTTTTAATCTACCTGCAATAATTTTATAAATTCAACCTCAAATTCATTCATCCAAAGGGAGCGTAAATGTGCCTTAATAACACCAATATAGTCTTCTCTAGTTATTAGCTGTGGTTTTTTTTTTGATCGGCTGTTAGCTGTGGTTGTTAACTACATTCTTTAATTATTCCCAAGTAATTAGATTAAAAAAGAAAAAAAAAGGAAGAAGAAGAAGAAGAAGAAGAAGAAGAACAAGAAGAAGAAGAAGACTCCTGAGCACTGAAATTGAAACCTGTCATCATAAACCTAGAGATTCAAGTTATACATGATGTATGTGTGAGTTCATTGTAGTTACTGGTTAGAAACCACTTTTTTGCTTCTAGGACCATTATTAAGTTTAATGTTTGCTATATTTTTTGGTTTTTATTGTTTCAGGTTTTTGAGTACTTTGCCTCAATCCGAACCCCAAGTGGGGAGGTACTTATGACACCGACAGACTTGAGGCGTGCAGTTGTCCCTGTATTTCCTCCCTCTGAATCAAATCGTATTAGAGAGGGATATCTCAAAGGGGAATGGATTCCTAGCGAGTTACATTGTGCTCCTTCAATATTTTTTATGCTTTTTGATACCGGCAACGATGGACTTATATCATTTGCAGAGTGAGTTACAATTTTGTTATCGATATTGCTTGTAAAATATCTGAAAAATCTAAAACTTTCAAGATATCAATCTCAATCAAACAATCAATAACAAATCGATAAAATGATTTAACATGAAAAAAATCACAATTGGAGCACCTCCAATTGTAATAAAAAATCATGGCCGAAAGTCACAAAAAAAACTATTAAGAAGACAAAAAAAAAAAAGAAAAAGAAATTTACATACGAGTACTCTCTATTACCTAGCGAATCTATGCCCGAATTGGACCAATCCTGATGTGTCTCTTCCACCACCATCTTCACTTCAGAATTGTCTTGCCCAACGTTGAATCCACAACGCTGATGTCGAATTCACGATGATGAGCCACTCCAGAACCCACCAAAGCTTCAGGCTCAAATTCCCTAGAATCCATCGAAGAACATTGCTCTATTTTGTGAATGAAAAAATAAGAACAACCCTTGGTATTTGACAATCTGTAATTTGTTGATCAATCTATCACCTTTTATACAAAGGAAACTCATATAAAACACCCTCCAATAAGAAACAATTTATTTTCTCTTCCTTTCCAAGAATCTGGACAGGTTAAACCTTAAAAATAGCAAATGGCGCACTTTATAGAAAATAGAGTCACGAAGACAGCTCGAGCAGACACTTCACCGCTCGAGCGGTGTTACTAAAAGGCAGTGCAAACATATAGGCCAACTGCTTGAGTGCACACTTCACCGCTCATGCGAAGAAAAATATTTCCCAGAAGTTCAGTTTACAGGCAAAAATACTAGATGGTTCACCTCACTGCTCGAGCGCACAAATGACCGCTTGAGCGGTCAAACAACTTTTGACTCCATTTGTGCTTGACAAACAAGGATTGCTCAAGATACGGAATGGCAGCACAAACTCCTCTACACAGGCACAATTCGTGTTGGATTCGCATCTAAACATTCATAGCCTCACTAAAACAAAAGTGCGAATAAAATTACAATTGAAAGGAATTTTGTCAAATGAGATTACTAATTACAAAAACCTAATAATATCTACATAAAGGGTTCATTAAAGTTTTATTTTTTCTATTTTTTCTGTAACAGGTATATTTTTCTTGTTACACTACTCAGCATCCCAGAATCAAGCTTTTCTGTGGCATTTAAAATGTTTGACCTCGACAATAACGGGTAGGTCTAAAGTCTAAATCTAATGTGTGTTCATCAACCACTAAGGAATCTAGTAGTTTTCCGAACAATCAATATCACTACTTGGTGTTGTTTTACCTTGAAATATGTCCATTTGTTCTTCTCTTTTTCTGCTTTCATCTATTTTCTTTTCTTATCTCTGTGGTTCTGGTATTGATTAAAAAATTCAAGAAGTGTAGTTTCCTCATTTTTTTCATGTAAATTTAATCATCAAAAACAAAACTATTCCGAGTAGAGTTCATGTGTAGAGTGTTTGTTATGTTCCTGAGAAGAACAAAATCCAAACTGACCCAGAAGCTTCTGATATGGATTAATTATTTTGGGTATTTGTTTACGAAATTATAACAATCATCGGATGACTACAAACTACTGAAAGAGAATCACTGGGCTATGAAGAGGTATGACCTTGTATTGATTAAGAACTTGATTACTCAGCCCACGATCTTGTCTCAAACCTATACCAGATTAGGCAGTGCGTCAATAAGTAGGCAGATTGTTTTCTGTGTAATGGTTGCTGTTCTTTGAAGTGGTCCTCCCTTGGTGCTGTCTTCTGTTAGTCTTTGCTGGGCTCTCGCAGGGAGTTGATAGCAGAAATTGTGCTGGGTGCAGCTCTGAAAATAGATTAAGTGGTGATAGCACTGGAATAGGAAGGAAATTGGGGTTTAAGACTGTCATGACACAGCAATAGTCTGAGTTTATAGTCTGAGTTCTGTGGTGCTAAGTTCTGAAGTGAATTTTTGATATGCTGCTGTTATGTTGCGCTGAAGGGATCTTCTTCAGCTTCGCTCTCAAATCTGGTGCTGATATGTTGGATTGGTTTTGGTGCTGAGAGGTGTGCTAACCAGGGTGAAGTCTGGTTTCCCAGTCATGGTTTTGTATGGATGCAGTCCATTTTGCTGTGTTGCTGTAGTGTAGTTTTGGGTTTGCTATGCATAGGAGTGTATGTCTGTTTGGTCTGTTTATTTGAGCCAGGAGCTGAGTGGACTGCACTGATTTTCTGGTTTTGTTCTGTTTTGCTTGATCTGATCTGTAGGTTTTTACTTTATCTGTTGGTTTCTCATCAACTGGGATGTTGGAGCTTCGCTTAGCTCCAAGCTCCTCTTTATTGTTGTACCCTCCTTACTTTGTTTGGTTTGCATCAATAAAGTTTTCATTTTGCCGATCAAAAAAAAAAAATAATTTGTAATTTTATATAAATATAACAATGTTTTTTATTTTTTATTTTTTTAGAACTTTTATTTTTAGAGACATTTGATATTTTTAATTGTATCATATGCTAGAACCAGAAAAGCAACACAAGTGACTGTCAAATATCTTCTGTATGAGTATTTTTGTTTACTAACTTTAAGCATCATAGTGCATCATAAGTCTAAGTTCATTGGTTTATTTATTTTTTATTTATAACGAAGCGGGCAAATGATTGTTCAATTTGTTTATGCCTTCTTCTATATCTAGTAAAATAGTTTGTATTTTTTTGTTGAAACTCATAGAATGATATCTTCTGCTAATATTTTGTATGGATTTTCAAGTTCTCATCTTGTTTACCTAAATAAACAGAGAGATAGACAAGGATGAATTTAAGAAGGTGATGACCTTGATGCGAACACATAACAGACAAGGGGCTCGCCACAGAGATGGGCTTCGTATTGGACTAAAAGTTTCAGGTTCTGTAGAAGATGGGGGTCTTTTGGAGTACTTCTTTGGAAAAGATGGCAAACAATGCCTAGAACATGGGAAATTTGTCCAGTTTTTGAGAGACTTGCATGATGAAGTAAGTCAAGCAATTCTCTCTCTCTCTCTCTCTCTCTCTCTCTCATATTTTTCGGGGTTCCAGTTAATATGTGTGGTATGGTAAAAATGAGTCATTTACTTCTTTATCTCACTCGGTAGTGTTCATATAACTTTTTTTGATACTTCATGTTAATAATCTATACTATTATATAAAGTTTACACGTGAGTTAGTATAAACTGTTACACTTTTTAGACCTTAATAACTACTCTAAACTGCTTTAATTCTCTTAGATCCAACTGCTTCAATTAACTGCAGTCATCAAAACCAATTCCTTAAGGATTAATAGTGAAAGGATTAATAATCTTATAAATTAGTGTAGGATTAGTTATCTAATTAAATTAGTAAGATAATCATTTATTATGTATTCATTTTATTTTTATTTTTCTTTCATAGTTGAAATTATGATTCCCAATTCTTCTCAATATTAAAAATTTGCCATTTTCGTCAGATTGAATATCCGCCGTACATGTAATCCAGTTAAAAAATTTACAATCAAACATAGGATTGTGAGTCCATGGATTAACAAACCCAATCCTATGCTATAATTCTACTAATCAAACATACCCTTAAATAACTGTTATTTTATATTTTGCACACCTCTAGTAATTATAATCTATATCTTTTACACTTTTGTAGATATTGCGATTGGAGTTTGCCCATTATGACTACAAGTCACAAGGAACCATATCTGCTAAAGATTTTGCGTTGTCAATGGTTGCATCTGCTGACATGCGGCATGTAAACAAGTTTCTTGACCATGTTGAAGAATTAAACGATGAACCAAATCTCAAAGACATACGCATTACATTCGAAGAATTCAAGAATTTGGCAGAGCTTCGTAAAAGGTTATGCTCCTTGTCACTCGCAATCTTCAGTCATGGGAAAGTGAATGGGCTCTTGACAAAGCCTGATTTCCAAAGAGCTGCATATCATGTAATAAACTTACTATGCACTTATTTTTTTCCAGTCAATTGAGCATATTTCATAACTGATATTAACAGAGTTAGTATGTTTGGTTGCAAGGTTTGTGGTATCTCTCTCATGGAGAATGTGGTGGATATGATATTTTATGTGTTCGACACTAATCATGATGGGAGTTTGAGCTCGGATGAGTTTTTAAGAGTATTACAAAGACGGGAAATGGACGTCACACTACCGAGGGAGGCAGGATTCATGGGATTGTTTTCTTGCTGGTTGTAGTGTACAAATAATTGCTCTTATTCAAAGATTCTACTTTAAGTTTTTCTTTCTACTGATGAATGATGATATTATGTGAAAATGATAAAAAAAAAAAGGGTTTTATTTTATGTGGCTTTCCACAAAAAAAAAATAAAAAAGGACAATTGTACAACGGGACACACAATTTTTTTTTTTTAAACAGAAATAAACAGGATACTCTGAGATGTCATCACGACATTCGTGGGCCTAGGTCCTAGGATAACCGGTTGCCGGCTTGATTTAATCCAACCCATAGTAAGGAACCTGTTGGGTATACCTCCTTACTGGAGTATGAGATCCAATTAGTTTATTAAAATATCTAATTTGATTTGGTGTTGGTTATAATATATTTTCATATATTATATTTTGCTTTTGGAGGCCCAATGAGTATTTAAAATTCTGTTTGGTGGTAGCTAAGATTTTGATAAAAAGCCCAAGAGTTAACAATATTGTTTTGGGATTGTCTTTGCTTTTTTGAAAAGGGCGCCATCGAATTGATTCCCTAAGTGTTGCTGTGTATTTTTTTGGTGCTATTGGTACAAAGCTTTTTGGTTTGTTTGGTGCTATTTTGCTTCGAAGCATTGTTTGGTTTGTTATTTTGGATCATCTTCAATTCTATTTCGAAAACTTTTGTTTATCTGTTTTGCGAGATCTTTCCTCTTGATTATTTGGAATTCACCTAAGGGTGGTTTGTGAGACTATTTGTGTCTCGTTTGTAATTGTTTGAAAACTATTGGTTGATAGTGAAATCGGATTTTGGTTCCGTGGACGTACCTCACATTGAGGGAACCACGTAAAAACTCTTGTATCGTTGATTTAATTTTTTCCGCATTAGTTTTTATTTGCGTTGATTGATTTACTAGTGGACATCTATTTTACCTAATAACTGGTATTAGAGCTTACTATTTATTTGAGTTTATTTATTTGTGTAAATCAATGGATTGGAATGTAGGTCGTATGTTTAGTTTCAATGGAAGTAATTGGGTAACTTGGAAAACTAAAATAGAAAACTTATTATTTTGTAAAGATTTATGTGGGCCTATTAAGGGAGCTAGTGGCGAACCTGATGGTATGAAAGATGATGAATGGAAGAAACTTAATCGAAAAGTCATTAGTGTTATCCGTCAATGGATTGATGATAGTGTGTTTCATAATGTTGCTACTGAAATTTCGACACATGATTTATGAAAAAAATTAAAAAGTCTTTATGATAGAAAATCAGTCACAAATAAAGTTTTTATGTTTCAAAAGTTAGTTAATTTAAAATATAAAGATGGTAACCCCATTCCGGAACATTTGAATAAAATAAAGAGTATTGTTAACCAACTTTCTTCAATGAAAATTGTTTTTAATGATGAGTTGCAGGCTTTGATATTTCTTAGTTCATTGCCTGAAAGTTGGGAGACTTTGGTCGTGATAGTTAGTAATTCGGCACTTGATGGAGTTGTCACAATGAGCCAAGTCACTAGTAACTTGTTGAATGAAGAGACAAGAAGAAAATTAGCGGTTCTTCTCATTCGGAGGCATTTGTTGTGAGAGGCCGAAACAAAAAAAGGGAAGAAGTAAGACTTCTCATGGTCGTGATTAAAGCCGTGACAAATCAAGAGATGGTTCGTTCTTTTTCAAAGAAAGACACTGAGTGCTATTATTGCCATGAGAAAGGGCACATGAAGTGGTAATGCCGAAAGCTCAAGAACAAGGAGAAAAAGCGTGACAAAAGTGTGGATAAGAAGTAAGAAGACACAACGATAGTTACTATTGACGGTGATCTCATAGTTGTTTGTGAAGATGATTGTGTCAATTTTTTGGGCCAAGAGAGCAATTGGGTGATTGATTTTGGTGTTTCTGTTTATGTGACTTCTCGAGTTGATTTCTTTACGTCCTACACCAAAGGAGATTATCGTTGTGTTCGAATGAGTAATGAAGGTTTGTCCAAGATTTTTGGCATGGGTGATATTTGCTTAGAAACAAATTTGGGTTGTAAGTTGTTGCTCAATGATGTGAGGTATGTTCCCAACATTCGCCACAATTTGATTTCTATCGGGAAACTAGATGATGAAGGCTACAACAACAAATTTGGTGATGGAAAATGGAAGCTCACAAAGGGCGTTCTTTGGTGGTGGCTAACTACAAGAAGACTCACACACTTTATTCAATGAAAGAAAAAATTTGTAAATGTATTATCAATACACTTGAGGATGATACTTTTACCGAATTGTGGCACAAGCGTTGTAATGACCCAAAATATTTTTTTAAATTGTTAGTGCATAAATTAATTGAGTAATATTTGGATTGGAGTGTTGTGTAAAGTTATGTGCGAAAATGGTTTAATTTTGTAGTAATTTTTTTTTTTTAAAAAAATATAATTTTTGATCTCAGAAATTATGAAATTTTTGTTATGTTGTTCTTATAAGAGTCTAGCATGTTGGATAAAAATTTCAGAATTTAATGGTGAGTATTTATTTCATGAAAATTTGCAGACTGATTAAGTTTAATTCATAGCAGAATTTTAAATTGAGTTTTGGGTGTTTGAACCATGATTTGAGACAAATTTGTTGGGTCTATTTTGATATATAATTGGGTGATGTTTGGTTTATGAGTGAGAATTTAATTCAAGATCCATGATTTAGATTTAATTTAATTTGAACTTGTTTATGACTCATGTTAACTGTTTGGTCATTTTTAATTATGTGATTGGTAGTAGCCACCTTGGAAGTTGTTATTATTTATTATATAGGATTATAATAAATATTTGATAGTTGATTTTATGGTGTGTACCATATGGTGACAAATTATATATTTTTATTGTGAATAAAATAGGTGTATATTTTATAGTGAGCAAAAGATTACATTTTATGGTGTACAAAAATGTTATATTTTGTGGTGAGAAAAATTATATTGTTTTATAATTTATATTAGTATAAAATTTTGAGATATTATTACAAAAATTATTTTTCTTTTGGGGAAACCAATTCTGGGGAAACGAACCCACGTGGGGTTGTTCCCCCCACGCCCTTCTCCCTTTTGTTCTTCTTCATTTGCTATTTTTCTTTTCCTTGAGCAGAGAGCTCAGCTCTGTCTCTCTCTCTCTCTCTCTCTTCCCTTGTTCTCTATTGTTGCTCAATCTTTAAGTTTGAAATGAGAGTCTTTAGAGTGAGATTTTGCAAAAGTTTTGTAAACGAAAGTCGGAGAGTTCGTCGTGATCTTCGTAATAGTAGTCTCGGATTTATGATCGGGCGAAGTTTGCTTTTAGAATTTGCTTATTTTCATTATTTGAGGTAAAGACTTTCTTTATATTGTTACTTTAAAGCTATAATAGGGTTATTTTGAGAAAAATGTCATTATAGGAGGTATTGCATATATATATATTCATATTTTTGTTAGGTAATTTTTAAAAGAAAAATTACGTTGAAATATTAAGAATATTCGTATTTTGAGATTGATTTGGGAAAATCACATTGTGTTGAAATTTTTTCGCTAAAAATTCGAAAATCACCTTGTATCTACATCATATTATGATTAGATGATTTATTTTGAGAAATATAAAGTTGACATATTTTTTTCATCTTTGATTTTGGAATTTATTTTTGAGAAAAATAAATTGGTATTGAAGAATATTGTGTAAATTGTTGAGTTGGGATTATAGAGTTATTTTGGGATTAAAAACTCTAAAAGTGCTATATTCATAATATTTTATGAAAGGTGATATGTTGATGATTAAGTTGTCACTACAAGAAAAGTGGGTTTATGAGACGGAACTATTTGCGACGGCATACTTGCCCTCTCAAAAAGTTACTTTTTGCGACGGCAAAAAATGCCGTCTAAAAAAAACAGAGTATTTTTGATGGCACCATTTGCCGTCTCAAAAAAACAGAGTATTTACGACGGCACCATTTGCTGTCTCAAAAAAGCAGAGCATTTGCGACGGTACTATTTGCTGTCTCAAAAAATGAGAGCATTTACCGTCGCAAATGCTCTCATTTTTTGAGACGGCAAACAATGCCGTTGCAAATGCTCTGCTTTTTTGAGACAGCAAATGGTGCTGTCGCAAATACTCTGCTTTTTTGAGACGGCATTTTCTGCCGTCGCAAAAAGTGGCTTTCGTGTTTTTTTTTTTATTTTTTGTTTTTAGTGAATATTTTTAAAATTTTAAATATTTTTTTAGATACACCTTACTTAGATGTATCTAAAAAAAAAAAATTATGAAAAAATATTTTTAAAAATTAATAAATACATAAAAATACAAAAAAAAAAATGTATTAAATTATTGTATTTTTGGTATTTAGTGAATTTTTAAAAGATTTTTTTTACAATTTTTTTTTTTAAATTTTTAGGTGTATTTATGTTAGGTGTATCTAAAAATTAAAAAAAATACTTAAAATATTAAAAAAATTCAGTAAAAACAATATAATATGGAAAATAATAAAGTATAATTTTCTCAAAAGAGTTTTTGGAAAACTCTAATCTAGCATAGTGATTGTGGTTTTGAGATAGCTTCATATATATACAGTCACAAAATGGTTTGAATAAATTCAACGGTATTTTTCTGTCGCGAAAAAAATTAAAAAAAACAATGTCGTTTTACTCTTTGGATATAACATTTCTCTTTTCATTCATTTTTTCATCTTCCTGTCTCTCTGTCTCTATCTCTCTCTCTTTTCTCTTTATCTCTTTCACTCATCACTCTTCTTTCTCTGTCTCTCTGTCTGTCTGTTTCTCTCTCTCATTTTCTCTTTGTGTCTCTCGCCTATCTCTCTTTTCTCTATCTCTCTCATCTGTTTTCTCTCTCTGTCTCTCTTGCTCATCTCTCTTCTCTCTATCTCTCTCATTTCTTTTTTTTTTTTCTCTCTCTCTCTCTCTCTCTTATCTTTCTATCTCTCTCGTCCATTTCTCTTCTCTCTCTGTCTCTTTATTTTTCTGTGTCTCTCTCTCGCTCATCTCTTTTCGCTCTATTTCTCTCTTTTTTTGTCTATCTCTCGCTTATCTCTTGTTTCTCTCTCTTTTTCTATCTCTCT